TATTAAAAAAAAACATATAATTCTAATTAAAAATGAATATATTATTAAATAAAAAATTCATAAATTTTCTGTTATTATTAGTGCTGCTAATATTCATCCTAAATTATTAATAGAAGAAAATGATATTAATTTTCGTAATGATGTTTGATTAATTCCTCCTATTGTTCCTACAATAACATTAAAAATTATAATAAATATTAAGAAATTATTATTTATATAATATGATAATAAAATTATTGGGGAAATTTTTTGTCAAGTTATTAAAATAAAACAATTAAATCATGATAGACCTTCAATAATATTAGGAAATCAAAAATGAAAGGGGGTTGATCCTATTTTTATTAATATGGAGGAATTAATTAAAATAGAAAATAAATTATTAATTTCAAAATTTTTTAATAAAATTATTTTTAATAAAATAGAAAATAAGAAATTAATAGATGCAATTGATTGAGTTAAAAAATATTTTAAAGCAGCTTCTGACGATAAAAGATTTTTAGAATTGGAAATTAGGGGGATAAATCTTAATAAATTGATTTCTAATCCAATTCAACATCCTAATCAAGAATTAGCTGAAATAGAAATTAAGGTTCTAAAAAAAAGAATAAAATAAAAAAATATTTTATTTGAATTTAAATTAAAAAAAATCTAAAATAGGGGGTTAGTTTTGTATTTTAAATTCAATATATATATATATTTTAGTGTAAGATGCACAATAATTTTTGATATTATTAGATATAGTTTAATTCTATAAAATATAATAAAGGTAGAAATCTACTTAATTTATTCTATCAGAATAATCCTTTATTCAGGCACTTTATTTTTTTAAAAAAAGGGGTTTCCTTTATATTTGGGGTATGAACCCAAAAGCTTAAATTTAGCTTATTTTTAATTTTTTTTTTATTTTATATATGAAAAAGATTAAAAATGGTTTAATGACATGTTTAAATTAAAAATTTATTTATTAATAATTATATATATATTAAATATTTAATATATTAATATATATATATAATATATTAAATATAATTATATAATTATTAATTATATTAATTTAATATAATTTATTTGAATTATAAAAATTTAAATAGCAATTTAGGTATTTAATTTAATATTATGAAAAAAAAAAGAGAGAAATTATTCAATATTTAATAATTAATATTAAATATTTTATATACTTTTTTTTTATATATATTAAATATTTAATATATATATGTTTATATATTAATATATTTATAAATTATATATATATATATATAATAATATATATGTATTTATTTTGATATTTTTATGAAAAAATTATATTTTACTTTTTATTTATATTGTTTAATAAATATTTTAATATAAAAAAAAAAATCTATATGAAAAAATTATATATATAAATAAATTTTTTATGATTTATTAAATTTAATTTAAATTTATTTTACATGTAAATTTTAGTGTTAATTTTTAATTATTTTAATAATAATTATTAAATTTGCAGTAATTAGAATTAAAAATTTAAGAAATTAAGATTTAGTAATATTTAAATTTATTAACAAACTTTGTGCCAGCAGTTGCGGTTATACAAAAAATAAATTTAAATTTTATCAGTATATAATAAATAAAATTATTATTTAAATTAAATATTAAATTATTAGGTGAAATTTTAATTTAATTAAAATTTATATAAATTTTATGATTTATTAAATTTTATAAAAAACTAGGATTAGATACCCTATTATTAAAAATTAAATTTATAATACTAAAATAGTAAGTAATTATTTATTGAAACTTACATAATTTGGCGGTATTTTAGTTCATTTAGAGGAATCTGTTTAATAATTGATAATCCACGAATAAATTTACTTAATTTATTATTTTGTATATCGTTGTTAAAAAAATATTTTTTAATAAAAATAATATTTTAAAATTTTTATTTAAAATTAATTCAGATCAAGATGCAGATTATAATTAAGAATATAATGGATTACAATAAATAAATTTAAATGAATAATATTTTTTAATAAATATTTGAAGGTGGATTTAAATGTAATTTTAATTAATTTATTAAAATGATTATATATTAAAATATGTACATATTGCCCGTCGCTTTCATTAATAAATTGGAATAAGTCGTAACAAAGTAGAGGTACTGGAAAGTGTTTCTAGAAAGAACAAATTAGAGCTTGTTAAAGTATTTCATTTACATTGAAAAGATATTATATTATAATTAATTTGAGGGGGATAAATTAATAAAGTATAAATAATAAAAATTTTTTTAATATTAATATAATTTAATGGGGGTTAAAGTATATTTAATAGAAAAAATAAAAAATATTTATAGAAAATTAGTATTGTGAAAGAAATTTGAAATATATTGAAAATAAATTTATATAAAAGTAAATTTAATTTATTGTATCTTGTGTATCAGAGTTTATTAATAATATTTTTTATTTAAAAATTTTCTCGAATTTAAAAGAGATAATTAATTATTAAAGTTAATGTTGTATAATTATTTTAAATAATTAATTTGAAATGAGATGTTAATCGTTTTTAAATATATCTAGTTTTTTTAGAAAAAAATTTAATTTTAAATTTTAAAAAAATATAATTTTAATTAATTAAAATTATATTTTTAAAATTAAGTATTTTAAGGGATAAGCTTTAAAATAAATTTTTATAATAAATTTTAATTATAATTAAAAATTTTAAAATTTATATTTTTTATAAATTATAGTTTTTTATAAATAATTTTAATTAATTTAAAATTTAAAATTTATTTAATTTTTTATTAAAAATTAATTTATAATAATTTAAATTTAGGTATAATGATAAAATTAGTATAAAAATAATTAAATTAAAATAATTTATTATTTGATAATTTAATAAAAGGAATTCGGCAAAATTTTATATTCACTTGTTTATCAAAAACATGTCTTTTTGAATTGATAATTTAAAGTCTAATCTGCCCACTGATAATAAATTAAAGGGCTGCAGTATATTGACTGTACAAAGGTAGCATAATCAATAGTCTCTTAATTGGTGACTTGTATGAAAGATTTGATGAGATATAAACTGTCTCTTTATAATTTTTAGAATTTAATTTTTTAGTTAAAAAGCTAAAATATATTTAAAAGACGAGAAGACCCTATAGAGTTTAATATTTAATATATATATATTAAATATTTTTTATAAAATTTAAAATTTTAATATTAATAAATATTTTGTTGGGGTGACAGAAAAATTAAAATAACTTTTTTTATAATTTTACATTAATAAATGGTTAAATGATCCGTAATTTACGATTACAAGAAAAAATTACCTTAGGGATAACAGCGTAATTTTTTTTTTAGTTCAAATAAGAAAAAAAGTTTGCGACCTCGATGTTGGATTAAGATAAAATTTAAATGCAAAAGTTTAAAATTTTTGATCTGTTCGATCATTAAAATCTTACATGATCTGAGTTCAAACCGGTGTAAGCCAGGTTGGTTTCTATCTTTAAATTAATAAAATATTTTAGTACGAAAGGATTAAATATTTAAAATAATTTTATATTTTTATAGGAATTTTAATAATAGATAATAGTTATTTAAATATAACTATTTTGGCAGAAAAAATGTAATGATTTTAGAAGTCATAAATATATAATTAATTTATATATATAGTAAATGATTATAAAAGAAATATTAGTAATAATTTTAGGGATGTTAATTTTAATTTTAGGGGTATTAATTGGAGTTGCTTTTCTTACATTATTAGAACGTAAAGTTTTGGGTTATATTCAAATTCGAAAGGGTCCAAATAAAGTTGGATATAAAGGAATTTTACAACCTTTTTCTGATGCTATTAAATTATTTTCTAAAGAACAAGTTTTTCCTATTTATTCTAATTATATTTCTTATTATTTTTCTCCTATTATTAGATTTATTTTATCTTTAATGATATGAATATTGATTCCTTATTATTTTAATATAGTTAGATTTAATTTAGGTATTTTATTTTTTTTATGTTGTACTAGAATAGGGGTTTATACTGTTATAATTGCGGGTTGATCTTCAAATTCTAATTATTCTTTATTAGGGGGTTTACGGGCTGTTGCACAAACAATTTCTTATGAAGTGAGATTAGCTTTAATTATGTTATCAAGAATTATTTTAATTATAGATTTTAATATGATAAAATTTTTTATTTATCAAGATTTAATTTGGTTTTTTTTTTTAATAATACCTTTAAGAATATGTTGAATTTCTTCAAGATTGGCTGAAACTAATCGAACTCCTTTTGATTTTGCAGAAGGGGAAAGAGAATTAGTTTCAGGGTTTAATATTGAATATAGAAGAGGGGGGTTTGCTTTAATTTTTTTAGCTGAATATTCTAGAATTTTATTTATAAGAATATTATTTATTTTAATATATATAGGAGGTTATAATATATCTTTATTTTTTTATATTAAATTAGTTTTTATTTCATTTTTATTTATTTGAGTTCGAGGTACTTTACCACGATATCGTTATGATAAATTAATATATTTATCTTGAAAAAGATATTTACCTATTTCTTTAAATTATTTATTATTTTTTATTGGATTAAAAATATTTTTAATTTAGTTAATAATTTTAGTATAAATTAATAGAATAAATTATTCTTTCTTAAGTTTTCAAAACAAATGCTTTAACAAGCTCATTAATTAAAAATTAAAAATTAAAAATTAAATTATCTCAGAATTTATTAATAATAGGGTTAATAATAAAATAAGAAAAATATAAAATAGTAAGTATTTGTCCAGTTATAATATATGGATCTTCGACAGGACGAGCTCCAATTCAAGTTAGTAAAATAATAATAGATACTAAATATCAAAATAATATTTGATTAATTGGATAAAATTGAATTCCTTGAATTTTTTTATTAAAAGTTAAAGGAAGAATAATTAAAATTAAAATAGATATTACTAAAGCAATAACTCCTCCTAATTTATTAGGGATAGATCGTAAAATTGCATAAGCGAATAAAAAATATCATTCAGGTTGAATATGAATTGGAGTTACTAATAGATTAGCGGGAATAAAATTATCAGGATCTCCTAATAAATATGGATTAATTAATGTTAATATGATTAATAATATTAATATTATAATAAATCCAATTAAATCTTTAAAAGTAAAAAATGGATGAAAGGGAATTTTATCTAGATTTCTATTAATTCCTAAAGGATTGTTAGAACCTGTTTGATGTAAAAATAGTAAGTGAATTATAGTTAATATTAAAATAATAAATGGAAATAAAAAATGAAATGAATAAAAACGAGTTAAAGTAGCATTATCAACAGCAAACCCCCCTCAAATTCAATTTACTAATATTGTTCCTAAATAAGGAATAGCAGATAAAAGATTAGTAATAACTGTTGCTCCTCAAAATGATATTTGACCCCAAGGTAAAACATATCCTATAAATGCTGTAGCTATTAAAATAAATAAAATAATAATACCTACTATTCAAGTATATTTTAAATTAAATGATTCATAATAAATTCCTCGTCCAATATGTAAGTAAATACAAATAAAAAAAAATGAGGCACCATTAGCATGTAAAGTTCGAATTAATCATCCATAATTAACATTTCGACAAATATAATTTACACTATAAAAAGCTAATTCAATATTAGCAGTATAATATATAGTTAAAAATAATCCTGTTATAATTTGAATAATTAAACATAAAGCTAATAATGATCCAAAGTTTCATCATAATGAAATATTAGATGGAGAAGGTAAATCAATTAATGAGTTATTAATAATTTTAATTAACGGGTGGGTTTTTCGTAAAGGTAGAAATTTATTTATCATTAGTATTAAATTATTAGTTAGATAATCGTAGAGGTCCAAAGAAAATATTGGTAATATTTACTACAGCGATTAAGGTAATAAATAAATAAATAATTAATATTATTATTATTAAATGTGTATAATTATTATATAATTTGGATAAATTAATTTTATTTTCATTATTAAAAAAAATGAATAAATTTTTAAAATTATTTATATCATAATTATTAATAAAATTTAATCAGTTTATATTATATATATATATATATATCTTAATAAAATTAATAATATAAAAGTAAAAATTAAAATTATTTTTATAAAAAAGTTATTATAAAATATTTCGTTAGAAGCAATTCTTGATACATAAATAAATAAAACTAATAATCCTCCTAAAAATACTAAAAATAAAATATAAGAAAATCAATAAGTATTAATTAATATACCTGAAATTAGACAAGTTAATAAAGTTTGGAATAAAATTATTAATCCTATAGATAAAGGATGATTTAAGAAAATTATTATAATAGAAAGTATTATAATTAAAAAAGATAGGGATATTTTTAAAATTTCAAAGAATAGTTTAAAAAAAATAATAATTTTGGAGATTATTGATAAAGAATTTCTTTTTCTTTGAAGTTTTTAAAATAATTATTTATTTTTGATTTACAAGACCAATGTTTTAATTTTAAACTATAAAAACAAATGATAATTTTAAATATATGATTTATAATTTTTATTATATTTTTGTGTGGAAATATAATTTTTATTTCTAAACATAAACATTTATTAATTGTTTTATTAAGATTAGAATTTATTGTATTAAGAGTATTTTTAATAATAATAATTTATTTAAGTTATATTGAATATGAAATATATATATTAATAATTTTTTTATTATTTACTGTTTGTGAGGGGGCATTAAGATTATCAATTTTAGTTTCTATAATTCGTACTCATGGTAATGATTATTTTAAAAGATTTAATTTATTATAGATGATAAAATTTTTAATAATAATAATTTTTATAATTCCTTTATGTTTTATAAAAAATATATTTTGATTGGTTCAAATAATATTAATATTAATTATATTTATTTTTATAAATTTAAGTTTAAATATTAATAATTTTTGTAATTTAAGATATATAATAGGTTGTGATTTAATTTCTTTTGGTTTAATTTTATTAAGAATTTGAATTTGTATATTAATAGTTATAGCAAGAGAATCTTTGTATAAAAATAATTTTTATATTAATTTTTTTTTATTAAATATTATTATTTTAATAATTATATTATATTTAACATTTAGAGTATTAAATTTATTTATGTTTTATTTATTTTTTGAAGGTAGATTAATTCCAACTTTAATATTGATTATTGGTTGAGGATATCAGCCTGAACGTATTCAGGCTGGAATATATTTATTATTTTATACTTTATTTGCTTCTTTACCTATATTAATAGGAATTTTTTTTATTTTTAATAATTTAAATTATTTAACAATTTATTTTATAAAATTTTTTCATATAAATTTATATTTATTATATATTTCAATAATTTTAGCTTTTTTAGTAAAAATACCTATATATTTTGTACATTTATGATTACCTAAAGCTCATGTTGAAGCTCCTGTATCTGGTTCAATAATTTTAGCTGGAATCATATTAAAATTAGGGGGTTATGGATTATTGCGAATTTTAATTCTTTTTCAAAATATTAGAATAAAAATAAATTTTATTTGAGTTATTATTAGATTATTAGGGGGTTTATATATTAGATTAAATTGTTTTTGTCAAGTAGATATAAAATCATTAATTGCTTATTCATCTGTTGCTCATATAAGATTAGTAATTAGAGGAATTATAACAATAAATTATTGAGGCTATTTAGGTTCTTATATTATAATAATTGGTCATGGGTTATGTTCATCTGGGATATTTTGTTTAGCAAATATTAATTATGAACGTTTACATAGTCGAAGATTATTTATAAATAAAGGTATAATAAATTTTATACCTTCTATAAGTTTATGGTGATTTTTATTAATGTCTTCTAATATAGCAGCTCCTCCATCTATAAATTTAATAGGGGAAATTAGATTAATTAATAGATTAGTAAGTTGATCTTGATTATCAATAATTATATTAATTATAATATCTTTTTTTAGAGCGGGTTATAGATTATATTTATATTCATATACTCAACATGGTAAATATAATTTAGGAATCTATAGATTTTATACCGGAGTTTCTCGTGAATATTTAATATTAATTTTACATTGATTACCTTTAAATATATTAATTTTAAAAATTGAATATTTTATAATTTGATTTTAATTTAAATAATTTAAATAAAAATATTGATTTGTGGAGTCAAAAATATGAGAAATCATTTTAAATTATTAAAAATTATTCAATTTGTTTTATTAGATTTTTTTTTTTATTTTTTTTTAGAATAATAAATTTTTTTTTATAGTTTATTTTATTATAGAAAATATGATTTTATTTTTAGAATGAGAAATCATTTCTTTTAACTCTATAAATATTGTTATATCTATTATTTTAGATTGAATATCTTTATTATTTATAATATTTGTTTTAATAATTTCATCTTCAGTAATTTATTATAGAAAAAGATATATAAGTTCTGAGTTAAATTTAAATCGATTTATTATTTTAGTTTTATTATTTGTTTTTTCAATAGTTTTATTAATTATTAGTCCTAATATTATTAGAATTTTTTTAGGTTGGGATGGATTGGGTTTAGTTTCTTATTGTTTAGTAATTTATTATCAAAATATTAAATCTTATAATGCTGGTATATTAACTGCTTTATCTAATCGAGTTGGGGATGTAATAATTTTAATGGTAATTTCTTGAATAATAAATTATGGGAGTTGAAATTATATTTTTTATTTAAATTTTATAAGTAATGATTATTCAATACAAATTATTAGTATTTTAGTAATTATTGCAGCTATAACTAAAAGAGCTCAAATTCCTTTTAGTTCTTGATTGCCGGCTGCTATAGCAGCTCCAACTCCTGTTTCAGCTTTAGTTCATTCTTCTACTTTGGTAACTGCTGGAGTTTATTTATTAATTCGATTTAATATATTATTAATTGATATATTTTTTTTTAAATTTTTATTATTATTATCAGGATTAACAATATTTATATCTGGGATTTCTGCTAATTATGAGTTTGATTTGAAAAAAATTATTGCTTTATCAACTTTAAGTCAATTAGGATTAATAATAAGAATTTTAAGAATAGGATTACCAGAATTGGCTTTTTTTCATTTATTAACTCATGCTATATTTAAAGCTTTATTATGCAGTGCAGGGGTAATTATTCATATAATAAATGATAATCAAGATATTCGTTTTATAGGTGGTATTAGATTATATATTCCAATAACTTCTTTATGTTTAAATATTTCTAATTTAGCTTTATGTGGGATTCCTTTTTTAGCTGGGTTTTATTCTAAAGATTTAATTTTAGAAATAGTAAGAATAAGAAATTTAAATATATTAATTTTTTTTTATATTATTTTTCCACAGGTTTAACAATATTTTATACAATTCGTTTATTAATATATTTAATAATTAATGATTATAATTTATTTTCTATTTATAATTTATATGATGAAGATTATGTTATATTAAAAAGTATATTTTTATTATTATTTATAAGTTTAATTACTGGGAGATTTTTAATGTGAATAATTTTTAATTATCCTTATATAGTTTATTTATCATTTAATATAAAAATAATAGTTATTTATGTAAGATTGATTGGTTTATTTATAGGATATTTAATTAGTAATATAAGAATTTATTCATTAAATAAATTTTTAATAACTTATAGTTTTAGAAATTTTTTATCTCTTATATGATTTATACCAAATTTATCTACTTATGGTTTAAATTATTATTTTTTAAATTATGGTCAATATTTAGTAAAAAATATTGATATAGGTTGAATAGAATTATATAGAGGTCAAGGTATATTTAATATTATTAAAAATTATTCAATTTTTTATTATTTATATCAAATGAATAATTATAAAATTTATTTATTTAGATTTATTTTATGAATAATAATTTTTTATTTTATATTATTAATTTAAAATTTAAATAGCTTATATAGAGTGTAATATTGAAGATATTAAGGAGATTAAATGATCTTTAAATATTTATAAAAAAAAAAGTTTTATTTTTACAATGAAAATGTAATGTTTTATTTAAACTATATAAATAAAGAAAAAATAAAAAAAATCTAATAAATAATTAGAAAATAGAAATAGAAATATTAATGATTTTAATCACTATAAATTAAGTTAGCAGCTTAATTATAATATATTTCAAATTTAATAGGAATATATAATTCAATAATATCATTAACAGTGATATACCTCTATTTGGTTTCAATTAATATAAATAAGGAGTTAATTAACTCATTCTTTTAAGTCGAAATTAAATGCAATTTATTGCTTCTTATTTAAGATAAATTAATAAATTAATATTTTTTGAATGCAAATCAAATGTTTTTAAATAAACTATAATCCTTAATTGGTTCAATTAAGTATATTTTGATTTCATTCATGATATAATCCTATTATTAAAATAATTAAAAAGAAAAATCTAATTTTTATTAATATAATAAAATTAACTAAATTAAATGATATGATAATTGGGAAAAGAAGAGCAATTTCAATATCAAAAATTAAAAAAATTACTGTAATTAAAAAAAAATGTAAAGAAAATGGAATTCGTGCTGAAGATTTTGGATCAAATCCACATTCAAATGGAGAACATTTTTCTCGGTCTATAAATGATTTTTTTGATAAAATTATAGATAATAATATTATAATATTAGAAATAATAATAATAATAATTGATATAATTAATAATAAAGTAATTATTTATATTAAAATTTAATTAAACTTTTTGATTGGAAATCAAATATACTAAATATATTATATAAATAAATTAATTTCCTCATCAATAAATAGAAATGTAAAGGAATAATCATACTACATCAACAAAATGTCAATATCATGCTGCTGCTTCAAATCCAAAATGATGTTTATTAGAAAAATGATTATTTAGGTGACGAAATAAACATGTTATTAAAAAGATTGTTCCAATAATTACATGTAATCCATGAAATCCTGTTGCTATAAAAAAAGTTGATCCATAAATTCTATCTGCAATAGTAAAAGGTGCTTCAAAATATTCATATGCTTGAAGAATTGTGAAATAAATACCTAATATAATAGTAATGAATAATCTTTGTATAGTTTGAGAATAGTTATTTTCTATTAATGCATGATGAGCTCAAGTTACAGTTACACCTGAACTAATTAAAATAATAGTATTTAATAAAGGAATTTGAAAAGGGTTAAATGGAGTAATATTTGATGGGGGTCATATAATTCCAATTTCAATATTAGGGGATAAGCTTCTATGAAAAAAGGCTCAAAAAAAAGATAAGAAAAAAATACTTCTGAAATAATAAAAAGAATTATACCTCATCGTAATCCTTTTGAAACTAAAGTAGTATGTTTACCTTGTAAAGTTCCTTCTCGACAAATATCTCGTCATCATTGATATATAGTTATAATAATAATTATATAACCTAAAATTATTAAGTTTATATTAAAATTATGGAATCATTTAATTATACCAGTAACTAAAGTTATTACTCCAATAGCTCCTGTTAAAGGTCATGGTCTATAATCTACTAAATGATATGGATGATTAAATTTTATTATCATTAATTTACTTCTCTAGAATAAAGAGTTCTAAGAATAGAGATTACATAAGATTGAATAATAGCAACTGCAGATTCTAAAATTAAAAGTAAAATTTGTATAAGAATTAAAATAAATAATATAAAAAATGATAAGTTAGAGCTTGTTCTTCTTAATAAAGTTAATAATAAATGTCCTGCAATTATATTAGCTGTTAAACGTACTGCTAAAGTTCCTGGTCGAATAATGTTACTAATAGTTTCAATTAATACTATAAATGGTATTAAAATATTTGGAGTTCCTTGTGGAATTATATGAATAAATATATGTTGATAATTATTAATTCATCCGTATATTATAAATCTAATTCATAAAGATAATGAAATTGATAATGAAATAGTTAAATGACTTGTACTGGTGAAAATATATGGGAATAATCCTAAAAAATTATTAAATAAAACAAAAGAAAATAATGAAATAAAGATAAAAGTTGATCCATTAAATCTATTAATTCCTAATAATATTTTAAATTCATTATGAAGTTTATTAGTAATAAAATTTCAAAAAATATAATGACGATTAGGAATTAATCAAAAGGAGTATGGAATAAATATTAATCCAATAAAAGTTCTAATTCAATTTAATGGTAAATTAAGTAAATTTGTTGTAGGGTCAAAAATTGAAAATAAATTACTTATCATTTTCAGTTTATATTTTTAAAAATTTTTTTATTAAAATAAAATAAATTTTTGAAATTATTAATATTAAAAATATAATAATTTATAATGTTGAATAAGATAAAAATTATAATAAAAAAAAAAAGATAATAATCAATTAATAGGTATTATTTGAGGGATAAAAGAATATTACTAATGTAATAATATAAATTTGACATATTTATGTTATATATTTTAACTAATTCTTTCATTAGAAGTAATTGCTAATTTACTATTAAATGGTTTAAGAGACCAGTACTTGCTTTCAGTCATCTAATGATGAATAATTATTAATTCAATTAATAAAATTTTTAATGGAAATTCTTTCGATTACAATAGGTATAAAACTATGATTAGCTCCACAAATTTCTGAGCATTGACCAAAAAAAATTCCTGGCCGATTAATAAAAAATCTAGTTTGATTTAATCGACCAGGATTAGCATCTACTTTTACCCCTAATGATGGGATAGTTCATGAATGAATTACATCAGTAGCAGTTACTATAATTCGAATTTGATTATTTATAGGTAAAATAATTCGATTATCAACGTCTAATAAACGGAAATTTTCGGGGGTATTTTTATTATATTGAATTATATATGAATCAAATTCAATATTATTAAAATCTGAGTATTCATAACTTCAATATCATTGATGTCCAATAGATTTTAAAGTAATTAAAGGATTATTAAGTTCATCTAATAAATATAATAAACGTAAAGAAGGTAAAGCAATAAAAATTAATGTAATTGCTGGGATAATAGTTCAAATTAATTCGATTATTTGTCCTTCTAATAAAAATCGATTAATAAATTTATTAAAAAATAAAATAAATATTAAATATCTTACTAAAATAGTAATTATAATTAAAATAATTAAAGTATGATCATGAAAAAAAATAATTTGTTCTATTAAAGGTGAAGCACTATTTTGAAGATTAAAATTAGATCAAGTTGGCATTTCTAAAAAAAGGATAATCCTTTATAAATGGGGTTTAAATCCATTACATATGATCTGCCATATTAGAAGTTTCTTAAAATAGGTAATTCATTATAAGAGTGTTCTGCAGGAGGTAAATTTTGTAATCATTCAATTGAAGAAGATATATTTAAAGAAAATAAAATTAATCGTTGATTAATTATTGATTCTCAAATAATAATAATTATTATTATTATTGATAATAAAGAAATATATGAACCAAATGATGAAATAATATTTCATGAGGTGAAATTATCTGGATAATCAGAATATCGTCGGGGTATACCTGATAAACCTAAAAAATGTTGAGGAAAAAAAGTTAAATTTACTCCAATAAATATTGATAAGAATTGAATTTTTAATAAATAAGGATTTAAAGATAATCCTGTAAATAAAGGATATCAATGAATAAATCCTCCTATAATTGCAAATACTGCTCCTATAGATAAAACATAGTGGAAATGAGCTACAACATAATAAGTATCATGTAATGTTACATCAATTGAAGAATTAGCTAAAATTACTCCTGTTAATCCTCCTACTGTAAATAAAAAAACAAATCCTAATCTTCATAAGATAGATGGGCTATAATTAATTTGAGATCCATGTAATGTTGCTAATCAACTAAAAATTTTAATTCCTGTTGGTACAGCAATAATTATAGTTGCAGAAGTAAAATAAGCTCGGGTATCAATATCTATTCCTACTGTAAATATATGATGAGCTCAAACAATAAATCCTAATAAACCAATTGCTATTATAGCATAAATTATTCCTAAACATCCAAAAGTTTCTTTTTTTCCACTTTCTTGAGAAATAATATGAGAGATTATCCCAAATCCAGGTAAAATTAAAATATAAACTTCTGGATGACCAAAAAATCAAAATAAATGTTGATATAAAATAGGATCTCCACCTCCTGCAGGATCAAAAAATGAAGTATTAAGATTTCGATCTGTTAATAATATAGTAATAGCACCAGCTAATACAGGTAAAGATAATAATAAAAGTAAAGCAGTAATTCCTACTGCTCATACAAAGAGGGGTATTTGATCAAATGATATATGATTAATTCGTATATTAATAATAGTTGTAATAAAATTAATAGCTCCTAAGATTGATGAAATTCCCGCTAAATGTAAAGAAAAAATAGCTAAATCAACTGAACTACCTCTATGAGCGATATTAGATGATAAAGGGGGATAAACTGTTCATCCTGTTCCTGCTCCATTTTCTACAATTCTTCTAGAAATTAATAAAGTTAATGAGGG